TTGCCGTCATGGTGAAGAGACGTTAGGGATTGAGAGTATGAGTATGAACATCTTGCATCAAAATTTTATCCTGACCCCACTAGTCGAGAGTGAGCGATTCATTTTCTCACATTCTCTATACTCTTTACCCCGGTGAGGACCTAGATTGCTCGGTCTTAATTCTGATATCTTGAGTTTTATGCATGAAGTGACTGTCTTGAATAAGTGGTTGACTCAAGTCTATGTTGGTTGGTGAACAGAAGGGAGACTCTTCGTTTGGAGGTCATTCGGTCTAGCTGGGGACAAAGCACTGGCAGGAGGCCTGAAGAGCACGGCCATGTACACGAAAGAGCACGCCAGTGTTATTTATGCCGAGAGCTGAACTAATGAGGAAGAAAAACCCGAGCTGGACTAAATCCAAAACACGGTCGTGTTCCTGGGCCGTGCTATTTATGGCGAGGCTTGATTGAAGGGGCTCCTGCGATGTCCAAAACACGGGCGGAAGTGACAGAAAACACGGTCGTGTCCGTATATTGGCACGACCGTGTTTTGGCCGATGTGGGCGTGTTTTTAACACGTGGCAAGGGCACGGACGGGCAAAAGCAAAACACGATGGTGCCCTCGACCGTGTTTTGCCCAGAATCGGGTTTTTGAGGCAGATTGAAGCCAAAGGAAAGGGAGAGCTGGGTTTTGGTTCCCAAACACCCAAGGGATGAACCCTAGAGAGAGAGAGAGCGACTTGGGAACATTCTTGGAGCTATTTTGGAGGATTTATTCGCCATTCGAGCTCGGGAATCAAGCTTGGAGATGGAGATTGAAGATCTAGATCAGATTTCTGCAGTCTCTCTCTTCTTTGTGGAGTAAGTTCCCTTCACTTAGGTTTTGAGGAACCCTAGTTCCATGTGTTAGGATCTTTCTTGTATGAAGTTTTGGACACTATATTGTTTGATTATAATCGATTGAGGCATGATTTATAGAGTCAATTGAAGCCTGATCATCTTCTCTTGATTTCTGCTTTAACCTATGATAGATAGAATCTGATTAGGTTAAGAGAGCTTGCTTGATTGATAGTGGTGAAATGGTTTTGCGAGAGTCAATCAATTCACTCCTTTGTACTGGAATTCATTCCAGTAGTGGAGATCTGTGTGAATCGCCTTACAGTCTATCCCGGTGAAGGCTAGTCACCTGCTGGGTATTCTGTTTAAGAGGGCTTGGTCAGCTTAAGAGATTCCAAGCTAATTTAGGATCTTTCGCATTTTAATCAACAGTAGATCAACCAAAGGTAATTGCAAATTGGACCTAATTGAGGATCTAGGGGGAATCATACTTAAGTGAGTTCCCAACTTGTAATTAGTAGAGTAGTTAGTAGAGTAGTTTAGTAAATCAATCCTTAATCTAGTTTGCTAGATAATGAACTGAAGCTGAGTAATAGTAACTGTAGAGACCCGTGGATTCGATATTTATTACTTGTGCCACTATACTGCAATCCCTTTCATTGGTTACACTTGGCCATTGTTAGGTGTTGTGTTTTAGCGTGTCATTACATAATGGGGTTTTCTTGTCTTTCTCCTTTTAAATTCGGTCAAAATTGTCCTTGTATGTCTTGAAACTCGGATTCTTTCGACCTGTGAATGAATTTACTTGCAAAGGAAGCTTCCTTGAAGGATAGGGCAAAGGCGGCGGTGCCACAACAGTTGGACCCTTTGATCTCAATTCTTCTCCAAGTAGGCCCATTTTTTATGGGAAACTTCCTCTTGGGCTTATGGACCTACTGTTGATATTTTTGCTTGTTTGGACTTCGTTTGACCAGTCTGCTCTACAAAATACTATCATGTGGTCCATATCTTGCGCTTCCGGTGTCAGAATCCATATTTTTTGAACCCATGAGCTTGTATCCTCAGCCTCTTTCTTATCAATTGGGTCCCTTGGTGATCCATATTTGTCTTGAGTGGTTTATAACCTTCAAAAGCATAGAACAACAATATAAAGGGATCAAATAGTACAGAAACACACGCAAGGTCTATCATAAGCTCATTATCCAAATAGTTATGAATTCCATATGAAATATAGTCAAAACTACTAAAGATGCATTGACAGAAGGGGAATATGTATAATATTTGGGAGTGATAAACACTAAAAATAAAGTGTCATCACTAAGCTTAAGCAAAAAGATACAACCTAGACTAGACTAGGATAAGAATGAACAAGATTCATGTGAAAATGGTCAAGTGGTGATAAAAGTCGTGCTAATCTTAGGGTATGACACTATGAAGCAAATATAGCACGACATCAGTCACAAATGGGCAGAGATGATGATTATGGCACACAAACACCTATGAAATGGAAGGTTAGATAATACCAATTTAAGCGTTATCAAATCTCCCACACTTAAGGGTTTGTTTGTCCTCAAGCAAAGATGCGATTCAATAGTGAAACTCTACCCTTTCTAACCATCTGTATACAAGGTGAATCATAGGAGTCAATTTTGTCAACTTCCTAGTAAATTTGGATGCGACAACTTTTTGTGAGTCTCGTTCCGCTGAAATGTCACATGGGCAATGATGCCCTCAAGTGAAGGTAGAAAGGCGTATCGTAACCAAGTGGATTATTTGATATAGGTCGACTGAATGTATACTCTTGGATATTCTTTTTCTCACTTTTCCAAAAACCTTAATTCTTTTTTTTTTTTCATTGGGGTTGTAGCACCATGAAAATTGTTTTTTTGTCTCACACAAGGCAAGTAGGGGAGTTGCTTTTTGCGTTATTTTCGTCTAGCTTTATCTTAGCTCATTTAGAAGGGACACAACACCAGGATGACCAACCTTTGAATAATAATAAACTGAAACTAGGTGGGTCCTATGTGAATCACCCTCCAATTGGAAGTGATCGAGATTAATCGCTTTTGCATTACTATTACTAAGGTTTCTTTTGAAAACATCTGACAAGTGCCTCACACGTAGACCTTTGGAGAACAAGCTACAACCTACTTTAGTGTAAAACTTTGATTGTGGAAAGCGGAAATCGAGCATAATCCAACCAATTGTACGCATGCATAGCCTTTTATTATTATTTTAATGACGTGTAATGCTGACTGGGCTAAAGTAACGGATTTTTGGACAAATTGAACTCTTTGTTATTAACTCTAACTTGTTTTATGGAAACGTATAAAATTAAAGTTTTGTGACCGTTTTTTACAAAGTGGATAGTTTTGTCACCGTGTATGATAATTAGTCATGAAAGCGCCAGGATACAAATAGCATAAAAGTATCATAATATGGGACAAAATTAGAATATTGAATAAAATAGAACATAAATGACATTTTTCGAATAGTTCAGATGGTGTAGTGGTATTATCCCTACATTTTATGTACAAATGTTTTCTTTCTTGGAAATGTTTTATGACACACGTCTTGAATTTACAATTATTAATACCTTAACCTATAATGTTGCTGACATAGAAACTGTCATCGTTCCTTCAACAAGGCATAAACCAATGCACACACTGGGGAATGAGAGAGACCCACTTCGGACACGGACAACCAAATCACATACATTGAGAGCAAATAACAAAAAAATTAACATAGTCAAACAAGAAATTGGTTTTGTAAATAAGAGCTTAGTCTAGCATTTTTTTATCGTTGATTTCAACCTAGAGGTCACATATACGACTTCCTCAAGGGGTCAATTCGATTGGGGAATTGGTTATCAGAGACTTGTGAGAGATTATGAGCCAAATTTCTCACTAAAAATCCAAAGATATAGTATGAGAGATTTGAGCCAAATCTCTTGTTTGGAATAAGGGTTTTCAGTCAAAGAGTCTAAAATACGATACTGCCCCCCCCCCCCCCCCCCCCCCCTCACTTTGGATCTTTTTCATTGTGCCACCGTCTACTTCGTGTGAAAAGTGTAAGAGCTCTCGTGAGAAAAAAATGAGGGAGATCGTTTAGGGATTTTGACCAAGCCAATTCAACAAAACGAAACGTTTCAAAATTTTCTGATTTGAGTTGGACTTAAATGGGCCGTTAGAAGAAATAGCCCACTGATCAGAATGATCAAATACTGGGCTTGATTTCAAACCAAGCTCGAACTTAAGTACAGAGAAGACAGAAGGCGTTCTTCTTCTTCTTCAGTGAACCAGAGTCGGCAGAAAAACAGAGGAAGAACGAACAGGGGAAGCAGAAAAGAATCAACCGAAGGGAATGTAGAAAGTAAATGGCACAACAGGATTTTAACGAGGTTCGCCACAGGGCTACTCCTTGGCCCGGAATAGTAGACACTATTCCGAGAGACACTTTTGATTTTCTTGACTCTATAACAAAAGAGAAAGACCCTAATACATACTCGAATCTGAAAATCAAAAGTAGAAGAAAAGACAACCGAATTCGCACAGGAATTCACCACAACCCTTGATCGTCTGAACCTATTCCTCAAAACAGATCAATGCCACTGATAATCCCCAACTCATTGCCCTATTCCACAAAGAATCCCAGAACCAGTGCATAAACAAACTCGGTTCTTCCTTTAAATAGGATTCAAGAAGGTAGCCGTTGGACTGATGCCTTTTGAATTGATCCAGACAAGGAAGGTTTGAGATATTTGCCAAGCAGCAGCTCCACCTTGATTGTGGCTGCAAATCTCTTGATTCCTCCAATTCAGACCAAGCAATCTTGTGACTTGATGTGATTGAAATCCTTCAATTCAACAATCTCCCCCTAAGTTGGAGATTGCTGATTGTCCGATTGAATCCTGCAAAAACAAGTATACCTTTTCCGGAGCATAGAAAAATCTAACAAACACAAGCATGTAGTCCGAGAGAACCAAATGATTAATCAGCTGGTAAAAACACGCCTAGCAAACTAGTCTAGTCATCTAGCTAAGCAAACGGAAAGGCAATTCAGCTGGTAAAAACACGTCCAGCAAATCAGTCCAGTCAAGCACAAGAGAAGACAGACCAAGTTTAACAAAACATCCAGACAGACTGATTCAAAACAGGAAGACTAAAAGCTGACACCAGGAAAACGTTACTCAGAATAGTACATATCCCTGAGATCAACCAGGACTTCTGCCAAGGATGGAGTGCCAGAGGTGGAATCCGTAGAATCGTCGCTATCAGAGTCTTCATCACTGCTGATCCAGTGAACTTCAATGTCAGGGATAGGTTCAACCTCACCTTCAGGCTCAGTAGCTACAGCTTCCACCGGTCCATCGTCATCAGAATCGTCAGCACCGTCATTATCAGCAGAGGTGTCATCAGCATCATTATTATCACTATCACTATCATCAGTGTCCTCCCCCTCAACGGCAATCGCAATCTCGTCGAGGATATCGTCAGCAGTGAGATAGATATTGGGAGTGACGATACCAAAAGGGTCCATGGAAATTCCAAGGCGAATAATGAGACGAGTGATCAGGGAACCGAATGGGAGATGGCCAAGGTATTCAAATTGTTGGAAGGGATAAAGGTGTCCAAATGGAAGATGGCAGTAATCGAGAGGGACACCATGAACAGCATGCTGGATTACCCAAAGATCTAGAGGGGTGACTCGATCAAGAAGAACAGCACGAGGGAGAAACCTACGAGTCAAAAGATAGTGAAACGTGCGAAGGGATGGAAGCAGGAATGCAGCAGGCAATGTGAGATAGGCATCAGGTTTATGACCAGTGAGAAGCACAAACTCATGGACTATGTCAAAGTTGAAAAGAGGAAAATCAGAATCATTTGCTAAAATTTCCCCAAACCTGGGAATGTTGAGAAGACGCCTAAGATCCTCAAGAGGGATAGTGACAAGGTTTCCATAGATCAGAGTGGTGAAGGTGCGAGGGTGAAGCCCAAAGGACTTGAAGTTTGAATAAAACAGACGCACACCTTCAGGGCAGATATGCTCAGGGGTGTCATCGATTAAGAAATCCCAACCCAGATTATGGGCATACCCAGTGACATCAAGACCATAGTCTATGAGATCAGCAAATGGAACATGATGAGTAGGAATGAAGGGACGATGAGCAAATGATATGGAATGATGATGGGCATTTGCAGGAATAGGGTCGTGGAAAAGAGTACATGTGAAGGTTTTGGAGAACCCTAGCACCATAACTACGAGTAGAGAAGACTTCTAAACACTAAGGAAGGATGAGAAAGACTGAGAACTAAAACAGACTTAAATAGGGAACCAGAGACACAAAAAAGGATGAATTAAACGAAGTAAGCTACTCAAAACAGGAAGGAAAATAAATGCAGCTATATACAGAAGGAAAAACACATCAGCAGAGGCAGTCAAGTAAGATCTTCCAGATTGTCTGGAGATTGCAGCCCTATCTCATAACAAAGGAAGGTAAATCGATCAGCATTTAAGGCTTTAGTGGATAATCTGCTAATTGGTACTCCGTAGGAATATGACTAATAATTATAGTATTTTGCTGAAATAAATCTCTAATGAAGTGATACTTAACTTCAATATGTTAAGTTCTTGAATGCTGGACCGGATTTTTAGACATACATATGGCGCTAGTATTATCACACAAGAGAGGTATTGAATTAGTCATTACATTATAGTCCTTAAGTTGATTTTTAAGCCATATGAGCTGAGTACAACAACTGCCTGCAGCAATGTATTCTGCCTCAGCAGTAGATAGGGAAACAACACCTTGCTTCTTACACGACCAGGAAACTAGAGAGGTTCCTACAAATTGACAGGTACCAGTTGTGCTTTTCCTATCTGTTAAGCTACCAGCCAAGTCTGAATCACTATAGCCTATTAGGGAGAAGTTATTATGTTTAGGATACCATAAACCTATCTCAGGGGTTCCTTTTAAGTATCTAAAAATCCTTTTCACGGCTGAAAGATGACTTTCTTTTGGGGCTGACTGAAATCGAGCACAAATACAAACACTATAGTGAATGTCAGGTCTACTGGCAGTGAGATAGAGCAGTGATCCAATCATGCCTCTATACTTCTTTTCATCTATCAAAACACCTGATTCATCTCGATCTAATTTAAGGTTGACTGCCATGGGAGTGGGACTGGGTTTAACGTTATTGAGGTCAAACTTACTTAGCATATTCTGAAGATATTTTGACTGATTAATGAATATCCCAGAAGAGGTTTGTTTAACTTGGAGACCAAGGAAAAATTTAAGTTCCCCCATCATGCTCATTTCGATAACAGATTGCATAGTGTTACAAAAGGCAGTGCAAAGAGAGGGATCAGCGGATCCAAAAACTATATCGTCCACATAGACTTGCACAAGAAGAATTGTACCATTCACATGTTTTATAAAAAGAGTTTTATCTGTTCCTCCTTGAGTAAATGAATTTTCCAGTAAGAATGTTGTGAGACGTTCAAACCAAGCCCTAGGTGCTTGCTTGAGGCCATATAAAGCTTTGTTTAGTTTATAAACGTAATCTGGATGTTCAAAGTTCACAAAACCTGGAGGTTGAGACACGTACACTTCTTCTTGAATGATACCATTCAAGAATGCGCTCTTCACATCCATTTGATATAGAGGAAATCCCATGTGACTAGCAAAGGCACACAGTAACCTAATAGACTCTATTCTAGCTACTGGAGTGAAGGTTTCATCATAGTCGATGCCTTCTTCTTGAAGATACCCTTGTACCACTAACCTAGCTTTGTTTCTTATTATGAACCCTAATTCATCAGACTTGTTTCTAAAAACCCACTTAGTTCCTATGACAATAACATTAGGAGGACGAGGAACAAGGTCCCAAACACGGAGGTATTCAAATTGAGTAAGTTCTTCTAACATAGCAATACTCAATTCTTCATCATTTAAAGCTTCCTTAACATTCTTAGGTTCTAGTTGAGATACAAAGGCATACTGTCCAGGAGTGTACTTACCTCGAGTTTGCAATCCATCACTCAATTTTCCAATGACTTGACTTTTTGGATGTCTTCTCTGAATGTGTGGTGGAGCCTTTGGTACTTCAGTAGACTTATCCAGTGCTTCATCTTCTTGATTTATGGATTCTTTAGTAGATGATTTTTGCATATTTGTAATATGTTCACAGGAAGAATCTTGACTAGCAGTGAGTTCACTTAAGTCAACCAGCATAGTAGTATCTGGGGTAACTAGATCAGTTTCATTGAAAACAACATGAACTGATTCTTCTACCTTCCTAGTTCTCTTGTTAAACACTCTATAGGCTTGACCTTTAGTTGAATACCCAAGAAACGTTGCTGGATCAGATTTAGCATCGAATTTTCCAAGCGAGTCTCGAGTATTTAGAGTATAGCAAGGACATCCAAAGGGATGAAAGTAAGAGATTCTAGGAGCTTTTCCTTTTAAGATTTCATATGGAGTCTTATTTAACTGCTTTCGATCTAAGACTCGGTTGATTATATAACAGGCAGTGTTGACTGACTCAGCCCAGAGAAACTTATGCAGGTTATAGTCTAACAACATGGTCCTAGCACACTCAATGAGAGTTCTGTTCTTACGTTCTACAACTCCATTTTGTTGAGGAGTCCGGGGAGCAGAAAAAGTGTTTTTAATTCCTATTTTATCACAAAGCTTAGCAAAGTCATCAGAGATAAATTCCCCCCCATTGTCACTACGAATTGCCTCTATAGATTGATGATGCATAGTGACAAAAGATTGAAATTTTTCAAAAGTTTCATCTTTGGTTGTTAGAAAATATACCCAGGTAAACCTGGAATAATCATCAACTAAGACAAAGACATAGTTTTTACCACCCAGACTAGTGACATTACAGGGTGCAAACAAATCCATATGAATTAACTCAAAAGTTTTAACAGTAGTAATATCAGGCTTAGACTTGAAGCTTTTTTTCTTATGTTTACCTGCAGCACAGGCATTACAGAAAAATTCAGCTTTTTCTTTAAGTTTGGGAATTCCTCTGGCTAGACTCAGTTTAGACAATATTGCTAACTTAGGCATACTGACATGTCCAAGACGTTTGTGCCAAAGGACTTCAGGCGAAACTTATGTGGCCTGGAGAACTTTAGCATTAAACATGCTTAGGTCAGAGAAATCTACCAGATACATGTTATTAACTCTTTTTCCAATGAATAGAGTTTTGTTTTCATTGACTTGTTCCACAGAGCACTTATTGTTTTCAAAAATCACTCGATTGCCATTACTGCATAACTGACTTATAGATAGTAAGTTATGTTTTAACCCTTCTACAAGTAATACATTTTTTATGACAGGTTCAGGTGTTTTACCTATGTTACCAGAGCCTATGATAGTCCCTTGACTATCATCTCCAAAGGTGACTTTACCTCCACGTTTCATAACTAGAGAATTGAACAGATAGTTCTTACCCGACATATGATGAGAACACCCACTGTCAAGATACCATTGTGAATCTTCAGGAGTGTGGCAAGATTCCTGACTTTTCAGCGGCTGTTTTGTAGAGGCCATGAGTGCTCTTTCCTCTCCTTCCTCCTCTTCATCGTCAGACTCATAGTCACTCCAAGTAGCTTTCATGGCTCTTTCTTTTGCCTTTAGTGTCATTGGACAGTTGGCACGAATGTGGCATGGCTTCCCACATTTGTAGCAGTCATGTGCTTCGAATGTTCCTGTTTCAACATGTTTGGTCTGCGGAGTACGCAGTCTATCTTGAAAGGAGCTTTTGACCTTGTCAAAAGGGTTAGCACGAAAAGAGGTGTTTCGATCAAAGGACTTCTGTTTTTGTTCTTGTTTATACTTAAGCATTCTGTGAAATTTACTACTTATCAGGGAAAATTCTCTATTAAATTCATCACTTAAATCAGTATCAGAATCATATTCGTCGACCTGAGATTTAAAAGCCAGAACATGTTCAGAACATGTTCATGACTAAGAAGTGACCCAATTAGTTCATGACTAAGAAGTGACCCAATTAGTTCATCTATGGTAAAGTGTTAAGGTTTCTAGCTTCTTCTATTGCTGTTATCTTCGGTAACCATTGCTTAGGGAGAGACCTCAGTATTTTTCTATTTAAATCTTTAAGAAGGTAAGTTTTCCCTAGTCCTTTCAATTTGTTTATGAGAACAGTAAAACGAGAGTACATTTCATGAATTCCCTCACCTAGAGACATTTCGAAGCACTCGTACTCGTGGACCAGAAGATCAATTCTGGTTTCCTTGATGTTTGATGTTCCCTCGTACGTGCTCTCGAGCGAGGTCCAGATTTCCTGAGCGGATTCGTAGTGTGATACGATCCTGGAATTGATCGAATTCCATCAGGATTAATCGTCAAAGAGGCCAAGTCAAATTGCAAAGAAAAAGCTGAAAATTGTCCAAGTCATTTTCCGTGTTCAAGCAGCCAACTTTGGAGGGACGTTTCTCTTAATTGGCTCAATGGAAATTCAAGTTTAATGACTTGTGTTGAACATGGAGTGATTATCTAC